GTTTGCTGAACAATGTGTTAGTTTTTCAGTATATAACCAGTTTGTTTCAGTTCTTAGTGGCTAACACATTGTTGTGGACAGTTTGCTGAACAAGGTGTTAGTTTTTCAGTATATAACCAGTTTGTTTCAGTTCTTAGTGACTAACACATTGTTGTGGACAGTTTGCTGAACAAGGTGTTAGTTTTTCAGTATATAACCAGTTTGTTTCAGTTCTTAGTGACTAACACATTGTTGTGGACAGTTTGCTGAACAAGTGTTAGTTTTTCAGTATATAACCAGTTTGTTTCAGTTCTCAGTTGCCTAAACAATGTACAAGTATCTGTATGATCTGTCACGGAGATCGAACCTTGAATTCTATCATAATAAGCTTGGCGCTTAACCACCGGGTATCATTCTATATTCAAAGAGGCAGAAGTTTGAAAGAATGATAAAGTTTGACCGCACTGGCCGTGATTCATTACCAACCGGTATCAAACCTTACTATTTTCCGTTACAAAGACTTATTATTATGACAGCTAAAACTACGTGCGTAAGAACACAAACAGTTTGAACTTTTTTTTGTGAAGAGTCTTGGATGGTTGAGAAGTATAGCTCTTTGAAGAAACACACAAAACTGTATCATTTTCTACAATTAGACAATAAGTGCTTATAAAATACTGACTATTTTTTGTCCTAAACTTGCTAAATAAACAAAACAAAGAAATGGAATTGTTCTTATGGTGGAGATCCAAGCATATCTAAAGATAAAACTTCATAACTGTGAGGAGATATTTCAAACTTACACTGTGACGACCTGAGTAATGTATTCTGCAAGCTAACACCGTCCGGAGATACGCCAATTTAATCAAAATAAGTCTTAATGGGGCATGATTGTGATTAAGATGGACGAGACTTCGGGCGATTGCACGAGTTAGATGCTAGTGACAATTTCAAATGTGTAGCTCCAGTGTTTATGTGTGTACTTCCACGCAGGCTGTTTTCAAGACATTGAATAATCAAACCCACTTATGTGAAGAAAAAAAAACAGAAAAAAAAAGATAGAAGACTAAGAACGCCTTCGAGATCTTTCATTCTCTACTGTATTTACATTAAAGTGACCGTGATGTTTCTTTTATGTCGTTACATCAAAATTCAACGTTGGCCAATGACCGATTAAAACTCTGATGTGGTTGTTTCAGTACTAAATGCTAAACTTTGGCATTTGATTCTACTTGCAGAAAT